AAAAAAATTATAAAATTTCTTTTGTACTTTTTCCTCTCAATTCTTGTATCAATTTAATATAATTTTGAATAATATTTAATAATAATATTTTATTGCAAAATTTTTTTATTTTCGAATTTCAAAATTTTAAGTTTTATTCGACAAAATGCAATAATATTTTACTTTTAATTTTGTTAATTTTTACTAAAAATGATGAAAACATTTAACCAATTAATCGACTACTATTAATTAATTTTCATTTAAGGAAATAAAAAAAAGAAAAAAAGGAAAGAAGCATTGGAAAATTTCTCTTTTTTTTTTTTTTTTAAGGACCAAATGCAGATATTTGGGCAATTGGTATATTATTATATTTTATGCTTGTTGGTAGAACACCATTTTATGCTGAAACAATTAATAATTTAAAAAAATGCATTTTACGTGGTATTTATCCATTACCTAATTATCTAAGTATACCAGCAAAGCGTATAATTACCCAAATGCTTATTATTGATCCAATGAAACGAAGTACCATTAATGATATAAAGGTATTATTTTTTAATAATTAAAATTATTATTTAAATTAATTATAAATTTATCTTTTTCATATTATTTAATTAGTATTTTCTTTTTTCGCCACTTTTTTATACTACTTTACCTTTTATTTTACTAATTTTTCTTTCACTAATAAATTATGCAAATAATACTGAAAAAAAAAAAACGAAAAACGAAGAGTATGTTTTTTTTTTGATTAACAGTATTAATCAATTTAATCTAACAATCATTAAATTAGAACAAATTTAAATTGAATTAAATTAAATTAAGTTAAAATTCATTGTATGAAAAGATGACAATTTCAATGTTCGAATAATTTCAACATATTTACTATTACATTTATATGAATGAATTATTATTTCAATTTGATAAAAATTAAACAATTTGAATGTATCATTTGTGTTTACATTTTTAGAATTGTAATTTCCTGAAAGAATGTAAATTTACCAAACCGTACGTACAATACAGTATGATACCGGATGAAAAAGAATTAATCGAGAATCCATTAGCATCTAAAATACGGAATACATTACGGTTTTATGGTATCGATGAAACAATTCTTAGAGAGAGTGAATTAGAAGGAATCCGAAATGCTGTTGTTGGAATTTATCGTATTGTGCTTCATCAAGCACAACAGGATTATGATGAATGGAAACAAAATCCGGTCTGTGCTTCTTTCATCATTTGATATGTTGATAATAGTTGATGATAATTTGAAATGAAATAATGATTCGATTGTATCTTCATTTTAGTTTTTTAGTTTTAAAATACAATTCGATATCTTTTTTTCCAACATATAATTACATTATCTATTAAAAATTATGCTAAATTTCATTGTTTGACCTTTGGTCAAATTTATTTGTTAGTGCTAGAAAGGAATGATAAAATTGCTCTTAGAAAATGAGAATTCTGAAAAAAAATTAAATTTAATAGTTTTATATAAGGCAAAGCAATGGGAAGAAAAAAAAGGGCTTAAAGTTGAATTTTTACATTTATAAAATCAAATTTGAATGGTTTTTTTTCTCGATTAGTTTAAATTTTTTTCTTTTTACATGAAGCAAAAAATTCTTTTGCCTTTTTCTGAGATTTAAAATTAAAATTGAATAAAATTTAAATGAGCAATTGTTACATTATTGCAGGTTCGAAATTATCACATGATGACAGAACAGGAGAAATCATTACCAACATTAAATGTGGGAAGCAAAACATGTTCAGTCTTATAAAAACTTTTCATTACTAATTAATTACTTTAACTCACCAAATATTCTCATCATTGGTGCTTGAGTTCACTGCTTAATAAAACATTCCATCGTCATTTGCCGCATGAATTTTGACATCATTTTATCACTTGTTGAGCAATAAATGAAATGTTCGAATTATTAGATATTGACTTTATCGTTGACTTGGCTTGAGAAAATGAAATTGTACAATGAATGTAGGATTGAATTGACTTTATAATGCTCCAAGTAAGGCTATTTTCTCAAAAAAAAATTAAATCAAAATCAAAATGAAAACAAATATT